CTGAGCTCTTCAGCATTTGTAGGAGTCATAGATTGCTACAGAGTCTGTCAGGCTGGTGAGTGCTATGAATCAGTCAGATTGGTGGTCTATGGCAAATCTCAGAACACTCCGGCTTCCTCAGTCTGTCTATGCGAAACCTGTGGGTTTGAAGTGGTCCTGGATGGTAGCCACAACCATTCTATGGTTGCAGTTCTATCAACCTCCTTGGCTACATTATCCACATCACTGTACCTTGTCCAGGGATGCGGGTTGGTGAGTTGATACAAGGAGCCAGAAATCCACAATCGTCCCTAGCAAGCTTTCTCACTGGAGGGGGAGTATCTGTAGCTGACCCCCGCAACCTGCAGTGGGGCATACTTCCCCCAAGTTTGGTCCAGGTGCATAGCCGTGTCCTCAGCACCTCATCATCAGCAGCCTCTTGATGACCAATGCCGAGACCTGATTGTATGAGAGCGGACAGCTCCCGGCTCGCTCCTTGGACCGCAGTCAAATGGCGATGCAAAACCATCACCATAACACCTCCGCCGAAGTTGCTCCATATAAGCGGGCAGTGTACAAGAACAGTATCAGTATGATAAGGTACCTATCCTAGATCTGAAAGAACAGTTTGCGAGGTGACATCGTGTTTTTCCAAACTATTCTTCTGAAGGGAACTTTTACCTAATTTTGAAACGCTGAAACCTCTGTGTAGCTCCAAGAGGAAACATTACATGTAGAATCAGCCTTTTATGTTATGGTCAAAGGGACTGTTGATATATTTCCTAATTACATCACCACCTTGGAAAGTTTCTCTGCACGTTTTGTACTGATGTGGGCTGGGCATTGTACATACCCATGCATGATATACCCACTCTGAAAAGTTTGCACCGGTGTGATTTGAAGGTGGCATAACTGAGAGTTACAGTGTCATCTAATTTGATGTTTATTTTGAGATAGTGAGAATTAATATGTGTATGTGTGTGTGTGTGTGTGTGTGTGTGTGTGTGTGTGTGTGAGAGAGAGAGAGAGAGAGAGAGAGAGAGAGAGAGAGAGAGAGAGAAGAGAGAAGAGAGAGAAGAGAGAGAGAGAGAGAGAGAGATAGAAGATAGATAGAGAGAGAGAGAGAGAGAGAGAGAGAGAGAGAGAGAGAGAGAGAGAGAGAGAGATAGAGAGACAGACAGACAGACAGACAGAGAGAGAGAGAGCATTCGAACATACATAAAAGCTTAATAGATGTATACCTGTGTCCACAATGTCCACATATACAAGCTTTTCACTCACCTGTATCTAAAATCTGCTCCGCCAATTCTCTCCGAAAGACGCCTCAGAGAGACAGGAATTCATACGCGAGGTCGAGGCCATGCAGTGTCTGAGGCACCCGAAGCTGGTGAAACTCTACGGGATCTGCACGTCACCAGATCAGCCTCTGCTCATTGTTGCAGAGCTCGTTGCAGACGGCGCCCTTCTCAATTATCTCAGGAAAAACAGTTAGTTCTTTATAGACGTCTCTGGGGGTGTAGGATGTGAGACAGCAACGACTGAGAATGGTAGATGGGTGTCTATCTATTTATCTTTATGGCTGTTAGTCTCTGTATGTATATGTCTGTCTATCTATCTGTTTGTGTGTCTATCTATATGTCCATCTTTTATGCTATCAATTCATACGTTATTGATTTTTTCTTCTCCTGCTTTTTCATTGGAATCTTTATTTCATCCTTTTCATTTCAACATTTTCATTATCTATGTGTTTTTCCCTTCTCTTTTCCTTCCCTTCGGCCTATCAGTTGCCTTCTTTTTTTCATTCTTTATTCTCTATTATACCGCTCACTCTTTTGTTATCATCTCATCTCATCCTTTCCCCATCTCTCTTATCTCTATCTTTGTATCTCTCCTCTAATCATTTCCATCCTACTTCCTTCTTATGATTATCTCTCTTATCTCATTTGGGCTTTCTTATTCTTTTTCTACTCCTCCCCTTCCACTCTCCGCACTTCCCCGTCTCTCCTTCAGTCCTCGGCTTTACTCTCCATTCTCTCTCCTCTTCTTCCTCTATCCCTATTCCCTCCCCCTCCCCCTCAGTCCCTTCACTCCCTCTCTCTCTCTCTCGGACGTCCTCTTCGTCCCTCCCTACTGCTGCCCCTCCTCCCCTCTCCTCCTGCTCTCCGTCCTCCCTCCCCTCCTTCCTCTCCCCCTCTCTCGCCCTGCTCTCCCCTTCCTCTCCCCCTCTCTCCCCTGCTCTCCCCTGCTCTCCCCTCCTCGTCTCCCCTGCAGCTCTCTCTCCCTACCCTCTCCCCTGCTCTTCCCTCCCCTCCTCCTCTCTCCCCTCTCCCCTGGCACCCTCTCCCTCCTTCCTCCCCTCTCCCCTGCTCTCCCTACCCTCCTCCCTCTCCCCCTGCTCTCCCTACCCTGCGTTCGCTCTCCTCCCCCGCAGAGGAGACCCGGCGGCACACCAAGGCGGAGCTGGTGGCCATGGGGGCGCAGGTGGCGTCCGGCATGGCCTACCTCGAGTCGGAGAACTTTG